ACGTCCTCCACAACTAGACTGAAGAACAAAAGGACAGCAACTTGTCTGTTCCCCTTCCCTGATTCCCCAATGCTGTTCCCTTGCCCCAATCCCCCAATAAAATCTTTTTTTAAAAATGGGCTACTGTGGATGGGAGGGAAAGGGGTGGAGATTGACAGAGAAAGCTGCTGCCTCTACCTTCCTCACTTGGAAAGTGCTGAAGTGCCCAAGTTATTGCCTGCCCTTCCTGGGCTAAGGTAAGAATAGGCTTTGTGGAGCTAAGGCCTGCCACAACTGTGTTTGTCACCACCACCCCCATTCTTATCCTAAAGGTGAACCTTCCCCTCTACCAGCCTCAAAGTAAAGCAGTGACTAAGAGGGAAGAGAGGAGACAGGAGCCTGCTTGCATGTCTTGAAACTCTCAATCCAACTTGGCCCTGGCTTTGAGGGGTGGGCTGAAAAAGAAGAGCTGGGGAGGGTGTTGAACTGCGGTAGGAATCTTCATTCCTCCTAGAAGTTTCCAGTCTGCTAACGGAAAGGAAGCATGGGGGCCGGGCCAAGGGGTAGGGGTCGGGGCTCTCTTGGAATTTAGGGTAATCTGGGTGCTCAACTGGCAAACTCTCATCATTAGCAAAATGGGAGCCTGGCCCAATTCCCAGGAAGGGGTGATGGAGGCAGAGGTTGGGGAAGAGGGGGAGGAGGGGATGTGGCTTGTCTCAAGGGGCTGGGGTCTCTGCCAATCCTGGCACAGGCCCCAGGCAAGCAGGCTTTTCTCTGAGGCTGTTCATTCCCCTGCCCCTCCCCTTCTCCTATTCCTACTCTCATCTTTGGCACCAGGGCCTCTGGAGAAAAAGTAAGAAAAATGAGTGGGCAGAAACAGCTGGATACAGCCAGGAGCACATCTGGCCTCCCAGGCTGTCTTCTGGTCCTCACTTCCCCTCCCCCCACACTCTTTCCTCTTTTGCAGGCTTCTGATAGGAGGACAGTAGTAGAGTTGGGGGGAGGGTGGGGAATTAGAGTGGGGCTGTGTACGGGTGGGGTGGGGGGGGATAAACTTTTTTGAAATATTAACTCGTCTTGTGAGGTGGCCTCTTGGCTGGAGCCTGACCACCTAACTTCCTGTTTTTCCTCCAGCTGCCTCCTCCCCTCCCTCTGCTCTGGGCTGGAACTAAGCTGGGGGAGGAAGGAGGAGCAGCAAAGTTGGCCAGTGTCTCTTGTCTGGTTCCCTGCAGGCTGGGGGCAGGAAGGCCTCCCTAAACAAGCAGGCGGGAACACATATAGCCCGGAGTCGGATTGTTGCCTCTCAGCACTTGCTCCTCTGGCCACAGCAGGAACAAGAGGCTCCTGGAAAACCTCTGTTCCTTGCCAGCTCTTCCATGAGCATACCCTGGTCCTGGGGCCTAAGATCTCTCCATGCAGGAGCAGTCACGAACTCAGAAGGCAGCAGCAATGCTGGCCACACCACCCACCCCACCGCCTCCGGCCCTGCCGCCCAGCCAGCCACTGGTCCCTTCACTGCCAGTGTTCGTGGGCCACGCAAAACAACCAAGTGAGTGATCAAGTACTGGCCGAGAGGTGGGGGGAGTGGAGGGTGGGGGGTGATGTTCCCAGAATGGAGGTGGCTGCCTGTGCCCTCATCCTTTTTTGCCCTCAGGGACAAACATGAGAGGCCCCAGCAGGCTGCCTGTCACAGGGTAGGGGACACTGAAATGTTGATCTGGGTAGGTGTTTTGGCCCCCCCCTGGTTTGCCTTTCTGTGCTCCTCCCACCCTCTTTCTCTCCTGTGCACTCCCATTCTATCTTTACTCCTTTCTGTTCCCAGGCAAGGAACTCATTAAGCCCAAAGCAATTTTGGGGCGCCCAGTAGAGAGACCCATGGAGGCTGCTGCTGCTGCTGCTGCTGCTGCTGCTGGTGCTGCTGACGAGTGTCCGGGACCGGATGCCAGGGGAGCTGGAGTCAAAAACCATCGCTGTCAGGTCTGCCGACCCCCTAGCCAGTTTCTCAAGTCAGGCACTTCTTACTCCCTATGGAGGCCAAGGGATCTCTGAGGCCCTCCAGGTTCCCCTGTCACCTCCATCTTCACTCCAAATCCTGCACTTAGCTTCCCTTGGCAGCTTCTCTTTCTACTCCCTCCTCCACCCCACCCCCACCTCAAGTTTTCAAAGTGATGGACGGAGGATTAAGAGACATCCCTGTCCCCATCTTGGCCATTTAGTCTGCAGTTGCCTGTCTGAGCCTGCTGTATACCATGGCTCAATTGTTTTCTCAGAGTCACCAGGCATCTCCATGAGCCCCCTGAAAGACATCTGTTTCCAACTTAGGCTCTTTTTTCTCCTGGAATTGCTGGGCCCAGGAGAGACTCCGGGTAGTCACTGTGACTATACCTGAGAGCCGGCTGTCCTCCTGATTCTTGAAGACCCAGGAGGAAGAGACACCTCCAGCTCCTAACCTGGGGTAGCCTCCCTTGGGTGCCTGGGCTGCCACAACACTTACTTATGTGGCCCTCAACCCCCTCCCTGCCCTGGCTAAGCCTGGGAGGGGAGAGGAGATCAGGAGGACCTTGTCCTAACCCCTGTCATCCCTCCTCTTGCCAGCGGATCCGAGCCAGCCGAGAAGCAGGCTCACGGTTTGCCATGGAGGGCTTGGACGATAAACTGATCCTGAACGTGGGGGGCATGCGCCATGAGACCTACATCAGCACTGTGCGGGCTTTTCCAGGCACCCGTCTCTACAAGTTGACAGAGCCACCCCCACCTGGCACCACAGCTGCTCAGGGTCCACCCGTTCGAGAGTTTTTCTTTGACCGAAACCCTGAGCTCTTTGGCTACGTGCTGGGCTACTACCGTACTCGGCAACTACACTGTCCTGCCAACGTTTGTCGGGATGTCCTAGAGGAGGAGTTGGCTTTTTGGGGTCTGGAGGAAGCACCTCTGGCACCTTGCTGCTGGCTCAAATTGAGTGGCAAGGAGACCAGAACCCAGGACTTTTTGTCTTGGGAAGCCTGTGAGAATGCCCATATGGATGAGCGCCTCCTGCTGAACCCCATCGAAGGCCAGGGACTGCGGAATGCTTGGAAGCCATGGCTCTGGGTGCTTCTTGACCAACCCCAGTCTTCCCTAGGGGCCAAGGTAACTTATTAACAGTGTTGTAGTACCATGTTAGACACGCTTACTCCCAAAGGGCCCTGCCAAGTTTCCACAATGGCACACACTTGGTATGGTGCTTGGTTCCTGAATCTACAGACATTCAGGACAATTTGAGGGGATTTCCAAAAAAAGGAAGCAAGGAAGGGTGGGAGTCCAGTTAGATAAGTGGGGATGGCTGGTAAATGGGGGTACTTCTGACTTACCTCTTTTCCCCCAGTGCCTTTCCCTGATCTCCACACTCTTTGCCGTGTGTGCTCTGGTCATCTTCTTCCAGGAGACGGAGGTCCAGCTGGATTACTTCTCTGCCAACTTCACTCCTATGGGACACGGGGTGGGGGGAGGGGGAAGCCATCAGCAGCACCAGAACAATGGTCTCGTTTACCGTCGTGCCCCGCACCTGCTCTACCTGGAACTGCTCTGTGCCCTTTGGTTCGGAACTGAGCTCTTTGCCCGGGCCATTTCCTGCCCTGATAAGGTGCGCTTCCTGTGTAGCCCTCTCAATCTAGCCGACATCTTCTGTCTGTTCCCTGTGCTGGTGGAATTGGTGGTAGGTGACAAGGCTGAACGGCAACCCCATCTCAGCCTAACACTTGGGGCCATTCGTTCTCTCTATGTCCTCAAGCTCGTTCGTTTTCTGGGCTTCTTCGAAAAGTCCCTGGCCATGAGAGTCCTGGTTCATACCCTCCATTCTTCTTGGAAGGAGGTATGTGCCTTTCTCCTGATTTGGGTGGCTGAGATCTTATTCTTTGGCTTGCTTTTCCTCTATGCAGAGCTCCTGGGCATGTCCACCCCAGGTCAGGGTGAGCCCCACTTTGGAGACATATTTACATGTCTCTGGTGGACTGTCATAACTCTCACCACTGTCGGCTATGGAGACGTATACCCCCTCTCTGCTCTGGGCCAACTCACTGCTGCTGTCACAGCCACTGTGGGCATGTGCACTGGTGTCTTGCTGGTGCCTGTGCTCCTGGTCCGCTTCCAACGTTATTATGCTGTAGCCCTGGCTCGCCAAAAACTGAGGCCCAGTGGGATCCTGTAATGTGGCCCATTGATCAAGAGGGGTGGACTCCCACCTTCCCTGCCTTCCTCTTGCAGGTTTTTGGTTACAGATAAGGGTTTATGGTCTTGGATTTGGCAAAGAATCCTTCAAGAGTAATTCCAGGTCATGGCAATCTCTGCTAGTCAGGATTAGCTAGTTGTGGCCTGAAGGGTAGAATCATCAGGGAGGAATCCTGATGGAAGGGGCTTAGGGGCAAGGTCAGCTAGGCCTCAACTCCCCTCTGCCCAACCCTAGGCCCTTCTCTTAATCCTGGAGTAGCCAGGAAGGATAGAGGATAGCTCTTCCTGGATTGGTGCTATATCCCCCTCTCAACCAGTTCTCTCCTCCCATCCCTTCATCCCTGTCCCCCATCCCCCCAACTAGACCATAGTTTAGATGGGGGACTTTTGAGTGATGGTAGCAATAGGATTTTAACATCAGTTACCTATGGATATCAATGGTGATTGACTGTGGGTATCAACACAACTGTCTGTGGATATTTGACAGCAACTGGTTATGAGTATTGATGGCAATCCATACCAGCAGTGCCCAGGCATAGCCAGATTGTAGCATTGTTCACTATACTAGTCCTGGGACAAATGCTCCTTAGAGCAATAAGGAGGTCTTTGGAGATTCTCAGAGACTCCAAACAGATGCAGGTTAGTCAGGCCTGAACCTGTAGATGCACACTAACTCCATGACCTCCTCTTCATCCCATTGTATCTTTCTCCATTCCTCCCTTCTCCTTCCCACCTCTGTGATTTTTTTCATAATATTTTAGATATAGTATTAACCACCATTAACCACAATATATTAGTTAATATTAGCCACACTATCTCTGCTACAATAACAATATATAGTCACTAATAGACATGAAATGTTATCGCCGCACATTGCATAGACAGGAATGAGGAAACTGGATTGTGGACAAGAATAAGCAAGTGGTTTCCTCTTCCAGATTTTTAAAAACATACTTTTGGATATACTCATTTACAATTCTTTTTCATTTTTTCCAAACACTTTTCAGTACCCACAACGGGTCTACCTCCAATCCTTGCTGCTATTGAACAGTCCCACCTTCCAACCTCCTATTCTCCTCCCTCTTCTCACCCCCCTTCTTCTTCTACTACCTGCATGCTCTTCTTCTACTACCTGCATGCTCTTTGGTTCCTGTGGTGCCAAAAACCATGCACCTCCCTTGGAACTGGCTTTGAGGAGGGAGAGAAGGGAGCTCCTCAAGTCTGACTTCAAGTGAAGCCACTGGGGTTTCTGAGGAAGTGCTCCAGGCAACTGGGCTGAGCTGGGAGGTTGAATTGAACTCTCACTGTTACTGAAGCTGTGAGCGTAATTCTGTTTACAAAACTTTTAAATAAAATATTCTTTGAAGTCTTCATTCCAGGGTCTGTCTGTGATTTTTGGGGTAGATGCTTGTGGGCATCAGCAAGGACAAAGATGGTGTAATAAACTAATGACAAGATGTGTGGGCAAATTATTTGATAGGGTAAAAAGCAGTTTGCTATCTTTATTTCATCTGTTCCTCACAATAAACTATTATCATACACAGATAACTTGACTAAAAAAGCACTTTTTGTTTGTGGTGGGAATAGGGTGGGGAGGGGAAGGAGACAGGCCCAGGAGTTGAGGAAGTGGAATGGTAGGTTGGCTCTCCTGTTTAGGGGATGATGGTGGAAACCTTGGGCACTTATCAGAGGTGGGAGGTTGTGGGGAGAGAGATTCCCATTTAAGAAACACTGAAAGGAGATTAAGATTATGGCAAAACATCAAAGACAATGTCCACCTTCTCACTGCCTAGAAGTGGAAGATGTTGGAACAATTTGCTGTTTTCAGAGATCATTCCAGTTAAAAATGGGAAAAATGAGGTGTAGTGAAGGGAGAGGATTTCTCCAAAGGCACGCAGAAGTAGTGGCAGAGCTGGGAGTTCTGTCACTTTAAAGGAATATTGTATGGATTTTTGTTAACTCACCAACATCAGAAGAGGATGATTAGAATTTCCAACCAAAAGTAGAGAAGATTGTACTCCACTGCAGGAAGCAGCAGTGGTGGCAGTGGGATGAGGGGGTGGGGTGAAGCTAGGATGTTATGGAGAGCCTTGGGAGCTTGAAGGAGTAAGGTGGGACCTTAGGATTGAAAAGCCCTTAGGGAATGGCTGGGCCCTATTTGGGAGAAGGAAAATGTCACATAACATTATAAAAAGAACCAGATAGAATGTCAGCTGGGAGAAGCCTGGGAACTCATCAAGTCCAACCTCCTCCTATTTTATGTGGGGAACCTGAGGCCCAGAGAGAGGCTGGGACTTGACCTGGGTTATATAGCGGTTAGGAGCAGAACTAGAGCTGCAACCATCTCTGTCGCACAAGAAGGAACATTGTCTTCCTTTGTTTGCCCCTTTGCATCTGGGTTGCATGGTCAGGTATTTTAACCAAGGAGAAGAGAAGGGGGAATGGAAATATAGAGTTTCATGACCTGCCTAGTACTAATACAATGAAGCATTATAGCATGACGGTGATGAAAGTCTTAGTATGTACCTATTTCTGTAACAGAACCCTGTATCTGACCCCATCTTAAACCTCTAGCACGTAATTTCCCACAAGAATGACTTCACAGATTGCCCCCAATTTAGCGATACTCCAAGTCTGAGCCCACAAATCCCCTAAGCTTTAGTGCCTTTCCTGAATACTGAGCACTCTCCAGGACTCGTATTTATTCTCCTTCTCATGATTTAGGTTCTCACTTCCATACTAATTTCATACTGGATCTTTTGCCCAGGCATGAATTGCTTCTACTCTGAGGAAGGCAGGGAGTAGATGGGGATGCTGAAAAACACTTTAAGATTTTTTTTTTAATTGGGGAATTGGGGGGATGGGAACAGCACTGGGGAATTGAGGGAAGGGAAACAGACAAATTGCTGTCCTCTTGTTCTTTAGTCTAGTTGTGGAGGACGTTGCTTCACTGGCCCAAGTTGGCACCATCATTGTGCTCTTCCCGGGCGAGGCAGATCAGTCGCTGGCTTCT